GGTTGAGTTTGCTTTGTCATCTCATATAACTATCCGTCATTTGACCAAAGGGTACATTGTACCTCGGAGAGGGATAACTTAGAGGTATGTAGCTGAGAGGGGACGTGTTGATGTATCTTAGCAGTTGAGTGGTTCTTTGTCGCGGCTTGTCAGAAATGATGTCTGGTTTGGGGAAGGGAGAACCAGGTTCTTCCATTTGCCCAGTACCTCTAAATGTCTGATTGTGACACATATGTATCATAGCTTCCCTTTGTAATTGTCATACTAGGAAATGATGAGATGCATACAAATGACTGAACTCAGATCAAATCAAAACCACGTCACATGCCCATAATAATGTTTGTTTTGCTGATCTATTCCTATGGGTAGCCTCAAGCACTTTTTTAAGTATTCTTGAATTTATTAAAGAGACACTATGCCACTTCCAAGTTTTGCTGACTTCAAGTTAAAGTGCTAATCTTTCTTATGGTAATTTGCATGCTGTGCTAATCACATGGGCAAACTTTGCAGTGTCGTAGGCGTGGAACATGTTCGCAAACGCGCATGCTGACTGCGCATGCGCACGCATGGAATTTCTCTGTAGATGCCATTTAATGCACCATGGGATAACTTTTTTGAATAATGCAGAAATACTGCAAGTTTATTCCCTTGTCTCCTGTATTCACGCTAGTCAGTAAATGCTGCAATAATGTTTACTGGAATGACAGAAAATGAAACTGACATTTCCCTTTAACTGTGCTAGAATTTACCACCTTTTCTGGAAGACAATTCCAGTAATCCCCTATCCTTACCGAAGGTAGTATTTGTTCTCATCACAATCAGATTTGCAGGTTATTTCTTTAAATTATGCCCCTTGCGCTTTTACTTTTTGTTGAAGAAAAAATGTCCACAATTTTTTTTTAAATTAAAGCTTCAAGCACCATAACCACTGCATCCATATGTAGTGGTTATGGTGGTACCAGAAGTGCCCAGACGCCCTCATTCAAAAATAGGATCCAGTGTTTTGTTTTGTTTGTTTGTGATTCCATTAGGTTCCAAGGCGATTGATCTACTTTTTTTAGGTCTTGGCTCTTTTTTTTATGTAGCGCAAAGTTCTAAAAGTGGTTTCTCAAACATTCAGCCACTGTGTTGGAAATTAAACCCCATCTGTGGGTTGCAAAGTTGCAAACGCAATGATTGCATGAATTTTTTTTTCACCAAAAAAAAGCCCACTTATTTCCCATCACTGCTTTTAAAAAAAAAAGTTATCGTCTTTTTGTCATTGTTTTGTTTAGAGCGTGCAGCCCGCAAACTTTATACTTGTGAACTAATTGTTGTTTTCTCTGTGGATGACAGGCAGCTGCATTCTCCTACTGACCCCGTCACCTCTCCTACTGCAACACATTATGGGTTTGTTCCAAATAACAGCAGGTGCCAATATTGTTTATCCCTCATTACAACCCCTTTTACAACACGGAGCTGCTGTTCTCGGTCGGTGGGGCATGTGATGCATGTGACCGTGTGTGTGTCTGAGGATGGATAGGGAGAAAAGTTCAGAGGGGATTCTAGTTAGTGTTTCATTCTTGCACTCAAAGACTCACAATCTTTTATTTTAATTGTGACTGAAAGTATGCGCTGAGATTTGAATACAACTCTGGAAGAGCAGACTGTTTTATTAGGGGACACTCGATGTACCCACACATATTAGGAGCACTGTGTAGGTTAGGTTACAGTTATTTGAGTATTATGATTTCTAATATTTTGTTGCCTAATACCTCTCAACATTGTGATGTAAGAATGCTTGACGGGGCATGGGAAAGGGGTTTACTTGTGTATTTGTGTGTTCTCCTGCCTATACCCCCTTCCCTCACTAGTGCCCCTCTGCCCATGCCACTTCCCCTTTGTGTGTCTCCACAAATGCTCCCTTTTTCCCAGACTCATGTCCCTTGCCCATATTCCCTTACCCTATTTTGGCCCCTCTGCCCATGCCCCGCTTCCTCTCACGTTTCTTGCCCCTAATGCCTCCTTTCCCCACCAACTTATGTGCCTTTGCTCTTGTCCCTGTTTTCTCCACTTGTGTCCCTCCGTGCATGCCCTTGTTCCCCCCGATGTGTCCTTCTGCACATGCTCCCCTTTCAAACACTTGTGCCAATGTGTATTATTCCTCATGGCCCTTCTTAGTTGTGTAGAGATAACCTGATTCCTCATCAGGAGAAGACTGGAAACAGGGGATGCAGTTGTGAGCTCCTGGCAGGAGCCAGGTAAATTGTCAAACCATACTAAAATGGCACCATAACCACTACAACGTTCTCTAGTGGTTATGGTACTTGGAATGTTTCTTTAATTAAGTGGTTTGGGTGTATAGCTCATGCACTTGCAGTCTCACCCATTTCGATCCCACTTTTGCGGATGCCAAGGCACTCCTAGCTCCATAACCAGTACAACTTGCTATAGTGGTTATGGTGCTTGGAGTATTCCTTTAGAGAATGCTCTATAGAAAAAAGTATAGATTAGGGTGTGAAGGGTGGTCATTGCTAAACAAGTGCTGAATTCCTAGAAAGTAGAGAGTTATGTAACACAGACAGCACATATAGCACAGACAGCACAGACAGCACAGAGCCCAAGAGGAATTTTACTGCCAAGCAGTCTTTGCCACATTGTGTTTATTTATTTAGTTGCACTTGCACATACAATTTTTCATGTCACTCTGATCTAACTAAATAAGTCTGAATTCAGCAAGAACTGGGACAAGATTTTCCAATAGAGAACCAGCACAAACGACAGTGTTTGCTGTGGTAGGTGGTGTATTAAAGTCAGGCGGTGCTCTATTCTGACTCGATACAGCACCTTGACTTCAGCTTGTGTCAGCAGCGGAGCGAGACACAAAGAGGACTATGTTGGGTACGTCCCAGGAGCAGCCAGGAGATATTTTATTGGAGACTGGTTTATCCAGGCCCAGTCTACTGAGGAAGGAGCTCAGTCAGACGGTAGGTAGATGCTCCATGTGTGGCTATCAGCATAGAGGGTCCCCATCGATACTTGATACCTGCTTCTCTGAGGGTCACGGTAACCTGATGAATGGAACGTCTCCAGTTCAGAGTGGCCTTGCACAGGTCTTGCAGAAATGTGAGCTGCATACCCTTGAATTGGTAGGGTCCACCGGAGGTCAGGGGGATTTGGGAAGCCTGTGGATACCTTCCACTGATGGGGTCTTCGCCTGCTTGGGGTGGAGTAATGTTGAAAGTAGGCGTCGGATGAAGTGAGGCAATTCACTGTCTAATTCGGATATTAGTACAGTGACGTGCATCGTCCAGGCAATCCATCCGAGCCTGTAGGGCTTGGTGTGAGGACTGGAGGCGTTGTAGCTTCTACTCAGTACCTTGTTGGTGTTGAGCCATGAAGGTGACGTCATTTTCAGTAGTCCTCACCCTGTCAGTGGCAAGTGTTATCTCTTCCTGTAGAATTGCGATATCTGTGCGGAACAGAGTGCGCACATTTTTCAGGATGTCTCCTTTAGTTGCTGAAGCTCCCAGGTCTCCAAGAGGCAGGTCTGATAGAGGGTCAGTAGCCCCAGGCATGGGGTCTGGGGCATCAAGTGTGTCCTCCTCCGAGGATGAGCTTGATGGGATCGCCGCCATTTTAGATTTAGGCCGCGCCAGAAAAAGATTGCCTATTCTCCTGGATCCTTCTTCTGGGTGAGTTTTTAATTTCTTGCTTCATTTCCCCATGTTGTCGCTGGGTACAGGGGTCTGACTTTAGTTGGATTGACGATGTTTGTATCGGGTAATTTGCTGTTACAGCCGCTATAGCTACGGTGCACCGCAGACATGCGACTGCTGCCAGCGAGATCAAAGCCACGCCACTCCAGTTCAGATTTTAATGAATGAATCCCATGGTATAACCATATCACACTATAGGTATAATATAAATTGTAATTACAACTATAAACAATCCCTGACTGCTATTAAAATAATCTAGATTAGAGATATGTAGTAGGAAATGTCCTTTAAAGTGATTTAAGAACATTCACTATAGCAGAGGCAACAGGTGACCTACATTATTTTCATTTGGTGAAGATTTAAGATGGCAAGTCAATGGACTCCACTACTGGAATTTGACTTTGCCCGTTACTGCTATAAATGCCCCCAAAGGATTATCTTTGTATTGTCACTTCTCTTGGTCGGACTTCTACCTCTCAGCTAGGGATGTCACATCCATCATCCATCCATGCATGTAGTGATGGGCAGCGTGAGAAAGTTGCTTTTCTGTAGTAGCCATGAATCAGTCGGAAATCTACATTCTCAGGGCAGCACCCTTCCTGTGACGTGTGTCCAGAAAAACATGGCGGAAATCGATGGTGTCAGATATCCAAGCTTTCTCATACTACACTGTAGTCCAATTTCAGACAAATAATGCAGATGTTTTACTCAGCAGCTTTTTATATTTTATGACCAGTTTTAATGAATAAAAAATATAGTTAATCACTAACATCATAATAAATTGTCCTTCAACCCTGCCTGCTCATTTGACAGTTTATATATATATATATTTGTGGTCAAGGCATAAAGCCGTAGAGTTAATAACATAAAACAAACAGGGGATGGGAAAAGTGAGTTGTGGTGTGCCGGAACTGACGATGCAGTAGGCCTGAAATAAAAGAAGGCCTACCTTAAGAAATGATTATAAAAGGAGTGGTGGGTGGGACAAATCTCTAGACCTGAGACAGTAGTGAGTGCAGGGCTGGTGCTCCTTAAGAGGGGGAACCAAGCCCCTCCCACAACTTCAGTCCCTGCCTTCCATTTGTGGTCAGGGCATAAAGCCGTAGAGTTAGTAACATAAAACAAACAGGGGATGGTAAAAGTCAGTTGTGGTGTGCCGGAACTGACGATGCAGTAGGCCTGAAATAAAAGAGGGCAAAAAAGATGTAACCAGTTTATTCAGCCTACAATACAGCATATGATTATCACACAATCATATTCTTAAATGCTAGGCGTACTTCCTGAACTGGCTGGGGTATGTATCTGGTGTAAGCTGTGGACTTCCACCGGCCCAATATTTTAATGATGTGCGCAGGAATATTCCTCTTTGAAGCGGTAGTAGCCGCTCCTATTCGAAATGAGTGACCAGAATATTTGGCGGGATTTAGTCCCAACCTAACTAACAACGTTCTTACATAGAGCATGAACTTACTGATAGTGAGGGTATTACCGTATAATGCTAGCAGTGGTTGATGTGGTGCTATTGAAATGGAAGAAAGGTATTGGTCGAAGACTTTCACGGGGCATCATTTATTACCAGTAGGGTAATAGGTAATAGTGACCGTCTGTCCCTTCACACTAGTTTTTGTATGATGTAGGGACGGTAAATGTCCCTTGTTTACAATATGGCATATTGCCATGTTGTCCGAGAAGCAACGCACCGTATTCCCCGACCAGCAAGCTCCCCATTTAACTGCCGCTGCTACAATAGGGTAAAGCTCAAATAAAGCAGATGTGTCCTTGAACTCTGGGATCTCAGCAACTTCCTCCGGCCAGTTGCCCCACATCCATTCATTTCCCAAAATAGCGGCAAATCCGGAAGTGGCCGCGGCATCTAGTGTCCGTCAATACTGGAACTAAAATGCTCTTTCCATTCCAGTGCAGCAAGAACTCCCTCCACATACGTAAGTCATCATTCCCCTGCAAGTTCACTGCTCAATTCACTGTCATTTAGGAGTTAAATCACTTTGTTTCTGTTTATGCAACCCTAGCCACACACCTCCTCTGGCTATGATTGACAGAGCCTGCATGAAAAAAAAAAAATGGTTTCACTTTCAAACAGATGTAATTTACCTTAAATAATTGTATCTCAATCTCTAAATTGAACTTTAATCACATACAGGAGGCTCTTGCAAGCTATTAACATAGCAGGGGATAAGAAAATCTTAATTAAACAGAACTTGCAATAAAGAAAGCCTAAATAGGGCTCTCTGTACAGGAAGTGTTTATGGAAGGCTGTGCAAGTCATGCAGGGAGGTGTGACTAGGGTTCATAAACAAAGGGATTTAACTCCTAAATGGCAGAGGATTGAGCAGTGAGGCTGCAGGGGCATGTTCTATACACCAAAACTGCTTCATTAAGCTAAAGTTGTTCAGGTGACTATAGTGTCCCTTTAAGTGAAACCTGTCACCAAAAATTCCACTAGATGTTGAGATGGGTGACCACACAATAAATCTTTCAGCAGTGAGAAATTAAGAGACGAAAGGTACTGCTTGGGGTATAATTTATTTGGACCCATTACTTTAGAGTGAGCGCGGAAACATTGGGAGCAGACATGAAGTAGCCTGCAGGCACTGTAACCACAAGTGCCCGTATTAAAGTTATTACATACTTGTGACTTTCCCAGAAACACTATATCGCGGCCCAGTTTATCCTTAAGGACCTTGCCTGGTCTCCCTGTGGGCGTCATGTTGGAAGGAGGGCAGAAGGTATTTACCTCCGGGGTATTAGGGCACAGATTCACTGTGTGAGAGTTGGAGGCAAAATTGGCACAAGCTGGTGTCTTTAGGCCCGCAAAGTGTCGACAAAAAAGCTCTGTATCCAGCACACTCCAGTCAACTTGATAATTAAACTGGGATAGAGCCGCCGACGCCTTTTTTGGAGAAAGCACGGTGGTAGTCGAAAAAAGACGTACCACCGTACTTGTGCCCCAAATCCACCAGCTTGTGGAGGTAGAGATCCAATTTTTCCCTCCTATAGGGATACACTGAGCATAATACGTCCCTGTAGATCCCGAAAGCCAATACGAATTCAGGGATGGATAGCTTACGATTCAGCCTGGGGTCCCTGGCTTTTAGTACCACGATACGTCCCCATATGCATATGTCTTATTTTCAAGGACATCTTGGGAGGCAATGAGCAGTGATATCAAATTGACATCCTTCCCTTCCAAGATGTCCTTCTTAAGGTTAACAGGCACCATGTGTGCTGGGTTAATAATATGAGGTTATCTAGGACCAGTTGGAATATTACCAGGAAAAGGGCCGGGGAGAACCGTAGCGTCAGGATTACCCAGAGCCGTGAGCGAATGCTGTTGGCTATCTGAATGCTGTTGGCTATCTGCGTCCATTTTGTCAAGCTTGTCAGTAATACGACCCAAGGAGGTCAGGTGATCCTAGGAATGGTCCAAGACCTGAGGGATGAAGGGCTCTCATTGTCGCCACCCTGGGATGGAGTGACTGATCTAGCCGGTGTACAAGGGATAGACAGTTCTTCCCCACCTTCTGGTAGTTGTGACATGCTATAAAACAAAATAGAAGGTTACCTGGGGTAATACCCAACTGGCTGACGTAACTAATGCCAAGCGGCGAAACAATTAGGTAGTTACGTGACAGGTTGCCAAGCGGCTGCG